CTGCTTTAGGAGAGGCATTTTGACTTTTCGGAATGAGGAAAAAATGCCGGAAGTTGGGCGACTGCCAATGGATCAGGAATGGACCAGCCCCTGGGAAAATGGGGGCAGTTTTTAGGGAGCTCCCAGGGTGCTGGAGTGTGGGTTTGCACCATGGCTGTAGAGGATTTAGGATTGACCATGTGCCTTAACAGGCAAGCTTTACACGGAAGGCCAGTTGATCTTGAAATGAAGGTGCTTGTGCTGGAAATAGAACTTACGAATCGCTTTGTTGGGCACCTAAGGCCTAGACTGAACCGGATTACACATTGAGAGATCCCGTAAACAGCTCCTTTTCTTAACATATCCTTAGGAAGAGGCTCCAGAGACTGGTTCTGCCTTTCCACCCAACCTCATGCATTTTGGGTCACTTCGTGCAGTGGGTCTGTTTGATCTGTTTACACTTTCTGTAGCAAACACCCAAATGGGAAGAGAAATGTCTCGTGTCCTTAAAAGCACATCCTGATGTGACCATGGTGTCTTTGTTAGCACCAGTGTTTTGTTTGTGGGGGAGTCTTGGGTTCTTCGGAATTTAGGCCTGCAAGTTTCCAGACCCTTATTAAAGTTGGACCGGAATGGCTGAAATCCTGAACTTTTCTTCTGGTTGTGCTTCCATTTCAGATGTGTCTATGCCATGTCAGATAATCCGAATCAAGTTTGATCAGCACATACACAGGAAACAGCCACATACCAAGTCAGACTACCCATGCTCCGTTTGGGATTGTCTACCCCCTGTGACAGTGATGCAGAGGGAAAGACGGGTGCCGTTTTTGCCTAGCGGACCAAACAGAGCTCTGAAAAGCTTCAAACTTCCCATGGCTTTACTGACTGAAGCTTCTCCAAGGCAGGTAAGGAGACATCTACTTTTCAAATGTTTTAAGATCCCAAGATTTCAAGGTAAAACGGGTGGATTGGGCATGTGGATGTGAACTGAGCAAAGTTAAAAATGTATCCAGGTTGAATTGTGAATGCTTTAAAATTGTTTATTGGGGAGGAGTTGATTAAAGTTTCTCACGTAGAAACAGTGTTGCGTATTAAGTTGCCCTTCGGAGAACTCTTACAAATTCGGAATTTAAGATGTGCGCCAGAAGGTGGCAATCTTTCCTGTCTGTGCAGCGATATTGCTTGGAATCGCTGAGTGCTGGGGTGTGTGTGTCGGGCTTGTCGTTTTGTCACTGTAGTGCCTTAACATGTTTGGGTTACTAACCTAATTCCCCCACCCATAAAACTTAGCCTGAAACGTTTCACTTAACTTCCTCCCGCTGCATTCTTTACACTCTCGCCTTTTTAACAATAGCCTTTTTTTGGCGCTATAGAATGAATCGCCATCAGTGGAATGTTAAAACAAAAAATCAATGTATCCGTCAGTCAGTAGGAACATAAATAGAAGTAACTCTGGTAGAGACCTCCAAATGGGGTAGAATGGCAATGTGGTTAATTTTCAGAGCCAAGTGTGTGTTATATCATCTGCAATCCCACTGCAAATGTTGTGGATTATACAAATGTCGTATGATGTAAACGGTGTGCATAGACTGTATGCCTGGATGGTATGCCCACGTTGATTGCATGGTACAGATGGATTCTTAGGCTGCTGTGGTTCATGGTTTAATTAGTTCTGATAAGGCACGGTGCTCTTGCCTCCACCCTGGACACCACGAGCCTCAGGAATGGGAGAGAGCAAAATGCAGGCCTCGCCCCGGCTTCTAGATAAAGCGCCGGGAAGGGCAAAGGAAGCGGTCTGGGGTGCTCTTTGGAAGTGGTCTCTTCGCTTCCACATCCTCCGGCACCGCCCTTTTGCCCCTCTCCAAAGGCACCGAAGCTGAAGCTCAAATTCTTTGGCCACCTCAGGAGAAGGAAGGACTCCCTGGAGAAGAGCCTGACGCTGGGAACGATTGAGGGCGAAAGGAGGAGGGGGCGGCAGAGGAGGAGGTGGCTGGATGGAGTCACGGAAGCAGTCGGCGTGAGCTTAGGGGGACTCCGGGGGATGGTGGAGGGCAGGAGGGCCTGGGGGAGTGTTGTCCGTGGGGTCGCGATGGGTCGGACGCGACTTCGCGACTAAGAAAGGTACTGTTCCACCCTCCGCAATTGGGGAAGTGCAGCCCTGGCGCTCTGAAGGATCCTGTGGTCACCCAGAAGGGGTCTGGAGGCCATAGGATTGTGCTCTTAATAGGTTACGGGGGCAGCATCTTCTTGCATCAAGAAAAGGCAGGTTTCTAAGGAGGCATCTTTCAAAGGCGCATGTGGGGCGGTCTGTGAAGGCTGTTGGAGGGTGAGGGGAGTTCCAGGCACAGGAAAGATGCAGAAGAGGAGAATGGGAACAGTTTCTAAGGGAACAGGCTCAGTTGCCACCATATAGCGAAAATAAGGTGGAAAGAGAGAGCAGAGCAAGGCCAAGACAGAAAGTTTGTTTGTTTGTTTGTTTGTTTGAGTGCCTTATACTATGTTCTTGGGATGGTTTACAGAATGAATTGTTTAGAAGGAGACGTCAGGAAGGAATTAATAGAGATGGAGCAGAATTATTCAGTGCTCTAGGTGTAAATATGGTTACTAGAATGAATAATGCATGTGTGAGAAAGCGTACGTGGATATGCAGAGTATCATTCCTCCATATTTGAGCATGACGATCTGCACAGCCATGCATTCGCATGCCTTGGTGCTTAGCGTTACGGATTGCTGGGGCTGCATCCAGACTTCACCATGTATGTAAAGCATGTTTCTTGTAAACGGGCTAATATTGCAAAGGCACAATCCCATTCATGTCCAGACGGCTACCGGCAAGCCTCGCCGGCCGTATGTAAACATGCATGGAATGGCACTCAAAGCTGCTTCATAAAGGCTTTTTGCCTCCAAAAGCAAGATGCAAGTTCGCAAACAGGCGCATGACCTCCCAGGTTGCCACCTTCTGTGCAGCGTCCTCTCAGTTACATGTGAACGTGGCTGAGGCTAAGAGCCGCAATCCATGAAATATTGGCAATTTGGCTTCATAATGACCTCAAATCCCGTGGATTTCAGGAAGTCTTCTCTGAGGATGAATATCCAGCCCTCGGGTGTAATTCATGGTCGGTCTCAGCCTTCACCAAGCTGATGCCCTCCAGAACTTTTGTACCACCCATCCCAGCTTTCCTGACCATAATCCAAGTGGAACATCCCACGGATGTGGCAGTTCCCTGGCGAGGGAAGGCTGCATTATGTTCAGGAATAAGAGGCCTTTGCACCTGAGACAGTTGGGAGGGCGTTACGCTGGGGAAGTCGGGCCTCTAGTCTCGCCGCCTCCAAGCCCCCTGCTCCAGAAGAGCTCCTTAGATTCCTTGGTGGTACTGTGAAAAGACGCCCAGGTGAAATGCCCGGGCTGTTTATTATCCTGTTGCCTTTGAAGGGCTAGACATCCTCCAAACGCGGCTGGCAATGTTGAACTGGCATCAGTGCAGCGGGAAGCACACGCGGAAGTGCCGCTGATGCGCGAGAGCGAGCCGAGCCCCCCCCCCCCCGCCGCCAGCATCCCTCCCTCCGCAGGGGCGCCGTGCAGCCCCACGATCGCGGGGCCACCGCGCAGGAGGCCTGGCCTCTGCCCCGCCGATCGGGCTGCGGGGCCTGGGAGGCTGCCCCGAGGCCCGGCCGGTGCGTCCAGCGGACCCCTGGCTGCGCCGAGCCCGCCCCCCCCGCCTCGCCTCGCCTCGCCTCGCCTCGCCTCCCCAGGCGGACTTTGCGTCGCGGGCATCGCCTCGCTCGGAACTTTGCCCAGCGTGATTCGCGCCCCCGCCCGGAGGAGCGCGCCGGCCACCTCGCTCGCCCCCGCCCGCCCGCGAGCGCGCGCGCGCGCCGGGCTCTCCTCCTCCTCCTCCTCCTGCGCGCGAGGGCGAGGGCGCGCGCGCGCCCGCCTTTCGCAGAGCGGCCGGGGGGGGGGGCGAGGGAGAGGCGCGGAGCCGCGGGGGCGACGCCTGTTCCTGGAAGAGCCCGGCCGGGGAGTTGGTCGCATTCTTGGCCGGGGTTCAGCGGCCGCGCAGACACCGCCGAGCCGGGGGGCGGGGCGGGCGGGCGGCGGGGCGGGGCGGGCCCGGCGGGCCGCCTGCTCTGGCTCGGCCCCGAGCCGCCCTCAGTCTGGCCCGGCGCGCGGAGCGGGAGGATGTGAGCGGGCGCCGCGGCCGTTCCCACGTTGC